TAACCACAGTTTGGCTACCTGGTACCTTTGTGTAGTGAACAGGTAATAACACCTCTCCCTGCATCCGAAGGCCTCCATCTGCCAATGGGCTTGGGAATAGCACCTCTCTCTTATTGTAAAGAACTTAAAACAGAACCTGCCCTGGAGTAATCTCTCCAGGAATGCTGAAGAGATTGACATCTCTACCATCACCGCCATCGCCACCATGTTCTTTCGCTCCCTGGAGCATCAGGTACCTGGCCATGACCCTCCTGGATCAGATCAGCCTTGCTCCGTGGACAAGTGAGAGATCACACGCACACACCCGTCTCTGCCTTCTCGCTGAAGGCACACTCCTAGGAATATTGCCCATCGAGTTTCTCCAACATTGCAGTTATATTTGAATGTGACTGTATTTTTATGAGAAATTAACACGAGTCCAAAGTTTTTTGAAAGAAGGTGTTACGGTTGTCTAACAGTTACCAAAATTAATTCCCTGGCTTTGCTCAAAGGCGTGGTCACGGCGCTGGGCAGCCTCCACCACTCTGTTCCCTGACAGTAAGTGACCGCAGGTCCTTTCCACGCAGACACTGGAGCCCGGCCCGTGGTCTGCACTAGCGGACCTCCCAGCATTTTTGCTTTATTTTTTTTGGTGTTGGTAACTTCAAACAGAGAAGAGTTTGTGTGTTTTTTCTGTAGGGTCAGGAAACATAAGTTTTGCTTCTGCACGAGGCGGGGTAGCATTTTAGAATCTTGTTTACTCCTGCTGTTGCTGTTGAACAAGGAGGGTGGTGGGAGGGGTCACCGGGTCAGCACGCACTGACGAATCCTGACTTTTGCAGCAAGCCCCCATTTTGAGCCTTTGTCCTTTTTGGCTTTCAACAGAAACCACGAACAAAGGTGCTCTTAGAGGAAGGAAAAAGGCACAAAAAATAGAGCATTCTTGTCTAAAACAAAACAGATTGTTGGAAGGGCCGTGCTGTCCTCAAATTCGGAGGCACTTGATTTTTACGCGTCACCAAACAACGTCCGCTGCAGGCGCACTCCGCGATGGGCGGGGTCACTGTGGGTCATCGCGGGCAGATGCCTCCACAGGCAAAGGGGTCTCAGCTGCATCCTCAGCAGAGCTTTCCGTTTGTGTGTGGTGCACGAGTCTCTCAGCACCTCCCAGTTCTCCGTGCCCAGCCAGAGTGCCCTGCGGCAGCCTCAGAGTGAGGCTCAAAGCCCCCGGTGTTGGGTCAGACACAGGGTGGGTTCGTCGGTGTTGGCCTTGACCCAGCTTTTATGTTAGGGGGTGATCTCACAGGTGTTTAGCATCATTTATGCTAGGGACATTCTCTGGGTCATGAGACCACCTGGGCCATTCTGAATGGATCAAGGATTGCACTGATTTTTTTTAATGTTTTTAATCCCAAGCTCTTTTGGAACAACGAAAAGCTGCCTGTTGAGCTCCATCCTAACCCTGAGGTCTCAAAATTCCAGTGCTATATGAACTGCCCTTAAACGTACTAGGTTTCTGTAGCCTGAGGAATCGGCCCTGCCTCCTGGCCCAGACAGGAGACTGGGCGATGGCGGAGGTGGTGGTGATAACAGCGATGATGATAAAGATGGCAAACTCGCACTGACATCACGGGCAGTAATAACAGCAGGTGCTTCTGTAACCCTTGGTTTGCTCCAGGTCCTCTTCTAAATGCTCTGTGTGTGCTAACTCATTTAGTCTTCCCAACAGCCCTATGAGCACTATTGTTGTTCCTGTTTTACAGATAAACAAACTGAGAAGTGGGGTAACTTGTCCAACATCATACAGCTAATAAGTGGTAGAGCAGGGATTTGAACCCAGCTTCTAGCCACCACGCCGCCCTGAGAAGCCAGCCACCGTCTGATGGGCCCTCAGATGCACACTAGGCAGGCACTCGCTGGCACGTCTTCGTGGGTCTAGCCTGCCTCTCCCCAAGAAAGCACAGCAGTCCCTGCTTCCTGCCCGCCTGCCTCCTGCCTGCATCCTCATCTCCACTTTTCCTCATCAGGCATGCCCCTGGCAAGGATCCCTGGCTTCCTCCTAAATGTCAGTGGTTCCGTTTACCACAGGGCAGCTTTAATCCCGATTCCCCGGCCTGGCAAAGCTGTGCAGCCGTCTGAGCCCGTGACAAGACAGCCCCTGTGCCTAAACGCTCTCGGAACTCGCACGTTCTGGGCAGCCTTGCCACCTCAGTCAGGCGTCTCCCAGCACCACTGGGGCGTTTCTCAGTCTTCCTGATCTTGTATGAATGGATTTTGTCCAGAAACGATATCTTGCACTCTCAGGGAGTTAAATAACCTTTCAACCCAGGCTGGTTTTCCTCACTGCTGGGCTTGATAGCTGGGCTTCCAAACAGGCACCTCAAGCCAACAGATGGTGAGATAGCCCATGTTCTGTATTTCTGTTAAAGTTCTGGAATCAGAGCAGACTTGCATTCTGAAACAGCAAACTCCACAGCCCAGACATATTTGTTCCTCTAGCATATGTGTGCCCACTGAGGCGGCGGCGGAATGGCTGATGAGATGCAAAGGGCAAGCACTCTCACCTCCTGCCTTCCTGCCCACACGCCCTCCCAGTGGGGCTCAGCCCCCGAGCACAGACCCCGGGGGCAGTGAGGGTGCCGCAGCCCAAGGGAGAGAGGCTGGCGTGTCCTCTGCTGCGGCATCTAGAGACCTCTGCCCTCAGAACTCGGGTTGGCACAACAGAGCTTTACCCTCCCCTCCCCAAAGAGCGTCCTTCCCACTAGTTCATTTATCAAAGCGTGGTATTTTTTCTCTCTTAATTCTGTGGGTCAAAGCAGCTTGGTTCTCACAGAAAATGAGAGACAAGAAATGAACCATGGGCCCCGTGCCGGGTCTGTTCTCGGACCTGCTGGCTCTCCGAGACCGAAACACCCCACACCTTTACTGTCTCGGAATTGGCATCCCCCACCTGGCCCCCAAAGTACTTTCCCTGTGTGCACCGGGGCCACCGATGGGCTATGACTATTGGTCGTACTTGAGATGATTTTAAAAAGTATTAAATTACATGGTAAGAAAGATTTCCCATTTCAATTTTCTTTCAATCTAGAAAAAGACTCTGCGGGGCTGGAATATTCTTAATACTCTCCGTCTTGTTAATTCCCTTTTTGTAACAACTGAGAGCAGGCCTCAGGCTGCTGTATCAGCTGGAATTAAGGAACACTGTTGGGTTGTCACTGTATTTATTTTTATGGTTACTTTCCATTCATGGCAGACAATCCTGGTTTTCCATGTACCATAGTGATCCGTTTTGAGTGATCGGTTTTTAAATGCTGCATGTTCAAAAGTGAGTAGATTGGACTGAGTCCTCAGATGATGCCATTGATGCCCATCCCAGGGCCACACTTTGGGAATGACGGCCAGGTGCATTGAGTGACTTCACATAATACTCAGCTGGGAAGCTTTCTCGATGCGAACGGCTGGGCCCCAGCCCAGACCAGTTAAATCAGACTCCCAGGTGCCGGCAGGGGGCTGGAGCACACATCCGTCAGAACTCACTAAAGCATCCCGGGCGTTTCCGGTGCTCAGCAGGGGTGGAGGTGCACTGCCTTGGGGTACCCAGTCCCAGCGACACCTACGGGGTCAGCGTCTGAGTCCACACTGCCATCGCACTTTTTCTTCCTTCTCTCTCCTGCCTCTGGCCCTTTTCCTCATCCACTTCCTCACTCCTTTGCTCTTCTCTCCCCCAGCTTCCCTCTCCCAGCTTCCTGCACCTGCTCCCGTTAGTGGCACCCTCTGACACTGCTGCTTTGGGTAAGGCATTACTGGCACCTTGCCGTTGCAGCCACGTCAGAAAATTTCTGCATTGCATTGTTCTCCCGGCGTTTGCTTGCCAGTCCATAAGCTGTCGGTCCAGTTTCTGCACATCCCTTCGGGTTGTGTTCTCTGCCAGGAACTTGTATTGACAACAACGATCATGATCATTACCCGGCTCTATGTGTGCCTGTCACATTGTTCCAAGTACTTTGTATGCACGAACCTACATCACCAGAATCCAAACACAGGCAGCCTGGCCCCAGAGCCCGCATTCGGAGCAAATGAGACCCCACGTGCTCTGCCCCTCATCCCGATTCAGGTATTCCGGCATGCTGTTCTCCATGCAATAAGAAATTGAAATTTGGACCCACCACTTATTTCGATAATGTTTGGAATTGATAACTTCTTTAAATTTTTAGCTTAAATGCTAATGTCTATGTTGGAAGCCCACAGTTTTAAACCCTGTTGAGATGTTAACTCATCACCCTTCAGAAGAGATCCGCCTCAGACAATCTGTGTGTGTGCTGGCTGTCGGCACCGTAAGTTAAAGATGATAGAGCTGCACCCACAGTTATTCTGCCGCCAGCACAACTCTGGGCAGCCTCGGTGGTCCTTGTGAGCTCACCCGGGATGCAGCCTCAGCGTCAGACATTCGGGGCTTTTTCTGCAGTTGGAAAGAATCCGATTCTCCTCCCAGTGCTTAATTGAAGAGAGACCTTTGGCTCATTTCCATTCCTGTGGGGAGCTTTATTATGCTCCCATTTTTAATCTTTGTGATACTTGGGTTGCTGTTTCAGGAGACTAGTCTTTTTCTGCATTGCATTAAAAACCTTCTGCCTGAGTTGAGGAGAATGCTCGGGCAGCCAGGTCCCCTGGAGACCTTCTCCCTCACCGGAGATTTTGCAACTGTGGGTAGTGGGGGTGAGTGTGGAACACAGTGCCCCGGGCACAGTGGGCACTCACGTTGAGGAATTGTTTGTTCCCTCCTCCACTTTCCAGGCACGTTGTACATAATTCCGTTGAATTCTCCCAGCAGTCCTGTGCCGCTAGAACTATGCCCTGGTTCATCTGTCTGGACGGAGCGGTCGGAGGCTTCTGGTCCTCACCTCCTCTCCCCGTGAACACCACCTTGATATGCCTCCCATTCAACCCAGTGCTGACAACTGGGCGATGCAGTCAGTTCTCCTTTTTGTAACATTTAATCTTTCTTCCTTCTCTCTTCACAGTGCAAGATGCAAAAAATCTAATCCCCATGGATCCAAATGGACTTTCAGACCCTTATGTGAAGCTGAAACTTATTCCTGATCCCAAGAACGAGAGCAAACAAAAAACCAAAACTATCCGCTCCACACTAAACCCCCAGTGGAACGAGTCCTTCACGTTGTAAGTGTTGTCCTCTCTTCTCGAGCCAGTGCCCTCCCTACCCACCACAGAACTGCCTGCGTCGTGGTTAGTGATCCGAGGTGGGCTTGTCACAACTGCCTCTGCACATCACTTTGTTCCTGAGACTTCCTCAGACGACCACTAGGGAGACAGCTGCTGTCACTCCCGTTTGATGGACAGCAACCTGGTTTGTCAAGAAGTACATGCTGCCGGCCCCAAATTATTATCAATACCTACTCTGCACAGAAAGATTCTCTTACATTACAGATGATATAGAAACACCTCTTGCTGAACTTAGGATCTTGTGAGGGTTAAGGGATGATGTAAGACAAGGATCTGAATGACAACTTTTAAGAAATGGAATAAGTGAATAACACAGACACTGCTGTTGCCACTGAAGTGGGAAGATCCTTACCTGTAAGCAGGGAAGACTTCTTGGAGGAGGTGGCATTTAAAGCAGGACTTGAAGGAATACAGGACTTCAGAGACAGAGCTGGTAGACAGGAAAGAAGGAAGGTGGTTACTGGGAGGAAGGAATGGCTTGAATAAGTCAGGGGTAGGAAGGTGCTGACTGCGGCTGCACACGAACCATGGTGCTCTTTGCAGACTGCCGCACAGGGAGCCGTCTATCTGTGAACAGCCAGGAAAGGAGCTCTCGACCGTGTAGGAGAGAGGCTAGCAAGCCTGCCTGTGTAAAGGGCCGGACAGTAAATGTTTCAGGCTTTATAGGCAGACAGTGTCTGTTACAGGTACACAATTCTGCTGTTCTGGAGTCAAAGCAGCCGTAGACGATATGTATGGCTATGGCCATGTCCCAGTAAAACTTTATTTACAAAAACAAGCAGTGAGCCGGATTTGGCCCATGGGTCACAGTTTGCCAACCCCTAGACTAGAGCACTGGTCACCTGGAGGCTGGTACTTTGTTGGCAATGGGGAGTCACAGGAAGAGCATTGAATATACTTTTCATTTTTTAACTGCAAGCTCACATTATGGGCATGGGGTGTCTCCCAGGAAACCATGGTCAGTGTAACGGCGTATGTGTTTGTTTGCAGCAAATTAAAACCTTCAGATAAAGACCGACGACTGTCCATAGAGATCTGGGACTGGGATCGGACAACGAGGAACGACTTCATGGGATCCCTCTCCTTCGGCGTCTCAGAGCTCATGAAGATGCCGGCCTGCGGGTGGTAAGGAAGCCCGGGTGCCTGTGTCCGCGGCAGCCGAGGGCCGGTCGTCTCAGGGCGTTAGAGCAGTGAGAGGTGTGGGAACTGGCTGGTTTGAGTCTAAAATGACCGTCAAGTGTGTGGTCATCTGGCAGTCGTTTCCCTGCGGGACGCATTTCAGAAACAGCTGGGCTAGAGGCTGCAGGAGGCGTGTCACCGGGCCTGGGGCCTTCACGCTTCTCTCCCCCGTCTCCAAAAGGTACAAGCTGCTCAACCAAGAAGAAGGCGAGTACTACAACGTGCCCATTCCGGAAGGGGACGATGAAGGAAACATGGAGCTCAGGCAGAAATTCGAGGTAAGGACACCCCGGAAGTCACTGGGACCCCTTTCCTGGAGAAAGCTTAATAACTTCAGACAGAGCCAGACTTCTGAGGTCACCCTGCTGAAAGGAAAAAAGGAGTTTCGGTGTTGACCTTTCTTTTTATTTAAAATAAAAAAATGTTGCCTAGTCACCTTCCTTTGCTAGCGGTTGACATGCTGGGTCATTCTCATTTAGGGAATAGAAGCGTCCCAGAGAAGGCCATGGTTGATGTCTGTGTAAGAAATTTGCCTGCACTTCCTGGGGAAATGGGCGGGGTTCTGAGCGCAATGCTTTCTTTAGAAGGAAGAGCTCTGCTCCTTCCCTGGATGAAACACGCCCATGGCTGGGCCCTTCAGGGACAGGGCCTGCTCAGCAGGGTCGTGCGACATCTAGCCTCCCGGGTGGTTCTTTCCCTGTCCAGCTCTGTCTCCCAGAAAGAGCTCACTAAATGTGGGTTTCAAATCCTCCCCCAGAAATCAGAGTCATGCAGTCTGAAGAAAGGAAAACATAAAAATAAAACACCCGAGCTTTTACAGCTCTGCCACTGTGTCAGTATTCGTCTGACAATAACATGGAAAAAATTTCAAATTTATCATTGGTTTGAAAATCTTGGCCAACAGAACATGCAGTGAATGAAGCTCTTAGGAGCCACGAAAAGGCCCTGGATGGTTGGAAATGATCTTGCTCCGTAATGCATTGTCCCACTAGAGCGGTTCATCTGCCTGAGAGACAAAACAAACCAGAACCTTAACCGCCATCTTCATGAACAGGGTGTCTGTGGTCCTTTAGCCTGCTCCCTGTTTGTCTTTAAACAAAGCACAAGTGGTCTCTGAATCACAAACATAAAATACATGTTTGTTCATTTGTTCAATAGTGTTCCATAAATAAATAAAGTCAACAGTCCCTCCTGCATGGGCGGTAGCTGTGGGCCCTGCTTCAGGTCTCTTTGGAAATGATGCAGGAAGCTATTGAGACGTGAGCTCGCGATAACCCCTGTGCGGGTCAGCAGTTTCCCAGGACCTCCCGTAGCTGCTGTGGACATCAGGGCTGCTGTCCTCGCTCTGCCAGCGATGAGGTGCCCGGCCAGAGTCAGAAAAGAGGCTTCTGTAGAGGCGGCCTGAGGGTGGGTTAGCCCTTGCTCAGCAAACTTTCTGTACAGGCTCACGCGATAAATATTTCAGGCTTTGCAGGCCTGAGGTTTAAAGTAGTTGCAAATTAGGAATCTCACTGCAGCTGTTCAGCTCTGCCTATGTAGCATGAAAGCAACCACGGGCAATATGGAAGCAAATGGATGAGGCTGTGTTCCAATAAAACTTTATTTACAAAAGCCGACAGCAGACCTGCTTGGCTCGTGGGCCATGGTCTACCAACCCCTAGCTCAGCCCACAGACTCCAGAGTCAAATCCTGGCTCCTGCCATTAATGTTAACATCTGACCTCCCTATACATGTTTTCTCTGCGAACGGGGACAGTTAGCAGGATTGACTTAATGGTAGTGTTTTAAATATTCAATTAAGTAGTCAGTAGGGAAGTCCTGAAAGCAAACATATACATGTATTGGCTCTTATCATCATCATCATCATCAATATGTTTCATTGCAGAAACTGGGTTAAAGGTTTGCTTTGTTTGTTTTTTGTTTTTACTTTCCAAAGCTTCTCTAAAAAAATGTTTTTTTCATGTTGAAAGATGCTCTAAGAAGTGGGCATGGTCCACGCCCTGTAGTCCAGCCACATTACGAAATAGAGGCGTGTTAGTGAGAGCATCGCCACCGTTCATAACACTGTTTGGGGGGAATATAGCCCCCTGTGCATTTAGATGGGTTTCTGGAACACAGTGTGTTTGTGAATTGGGAACTTGGTGTATCTGGCAATGAATGGGTCAGATAATCGCTGGACAAATCGGGTTTAAGTGGTTATCGGGAGTCACTAGTCTCCTGCTGAGCCAGCATCCGCACCGAAGGAACACCGTGTGAGGACGGTAGCGGCTATAGGTTAACAACAAATGGCACGGTTTAGCACTGATTTTATTCACATGAAAGCTCAGGACTTCTGTTATGTCCATGCTGCCGTTTTGATCTTTTACAAAACCTGGGATCTGGACCATTCGCCTCTGGAGCTATGCCTAGGGAGCTAGGTGTGATGCTCCGCTTCCTGGTTGGAAGAAAGGGGATCTTCTGGCCACGTCTTGTCCTTGTTTCAAATATTTCCAGAGGATCTTACTGTCATCTGTCCATTTCCATGGTTGTCGGTGAGCTTGAGCATGTTTGTGTTGTGTTTGACAGTCAGGTGATGCTTCCCCTGAGCTGTTTGGACCACATCTACCCCAGACTTGGGGTTGTCCCAGAGAGAAGACGATGGGAGGAGGCTTGGGGGAGGAGGAAGGTGAGGCCAGCGACAGGATGACTCTCTGTCCCCTCCTCTGGAGCCCAGCCACTTCCTTCCCAGGCCCTGTTCCCGCCTCTGTCCCCTTCTGCTCTGATGCAAAGCCTCCCCCTGGGCTCGGCCCCTCGGCCCTACCTCGACTTTAACCAAGACCTTCTCCCCGATCCTGCTTCCCATAGACTCTATAGGAATCAAGCCACAAGGGCTGGTGGCCCTGGCCCTGGTCTCCTCAGGCCAACAGCACCTGGGCATTAGTTCAGGGGTTGTTTCTCCCTTCCTCAATTTTTATATTTCTGTGTTCAACAAAATAAAACCTAAATTCCCTCATTTTACTCCAGATCCCAATCACTGCTTCTGATTTTTACTTTGATGACTCTGTTAGCTATAAATGGACTCTAAACGAACTCACTTCCTCCTGTGGGGTTGCTCATCTCCGCCACATGTTGTTAACAGTTATTGGAGATTCTGACGCAGGAGTCAGGCCTTTCCTTAAATGAGGTCATGCCATTCTGTTTCACTGATGGTCAAGGCTTTTCATTGTTGTCACCGTTTGTTTCTGATCACTCATAAAATAGAACAAGTAAGCTAAAAGCATGTGAGCCCTTTTCTGTTCTTACCATTAACTGTCACGCTTGCCTGCTACCGTTGCTTCACTCCAGGGTGTTAAAACCTAATGTTGCCTTGGCTGGCGTAGCTCAGTGGATTGAGTGTGGGCTGCGAACCAAAGCATCTCAGGTTCGATTCCCAGTCAGGACACATGCCTGGGTCACAGGTCACAATCCCCAGCAACCACACATTGATGTTTCTCTCTCTCTCTCTCTCTCTCTCTCTCTCTCTCCCTCCCTTCCCTCTCTAAAAAAAATAAATAAAATCTTTTTAAAAAACCCTAATGTTAAAAAACGTTAAAGATAAACAGATGTTAAAGAGCAACACAGACACATCTGTAGCTGCAAGGCTACACACTTTGTATCTGCCACGGAATCGTCACGTTGTCAGAAAACATAAAGTAACATTTCGTGGAGGCGCTGGCAAATGATGTGTCACAAATCACTCTTTGGGGCATCAGGATTCAAGAAAGTGAGATGAGTTTATTCAAACTGCAGTGTCGCTTGAAACGTGCGTGAGCTGTCTATAGGGAAGTACAGGCACACCTGGGAGATACTGCGGGTTCAATGCCAGACCCCGCCACAACACCAGCTGTAGTCTTTTTGCCGACGGCGGGTCTTCCTGCCTTCAATTTGGAAAATATGCAACATCTGTGAAGCGCAGTGAACCACGGTGTGCCTGTACCTTCTGAGTTCTATCGAGAGAGAAGTGTACGATCAAGTGTGAAGTACGGCGACTGCTCTTGGAGCGTAGTCTTGACGACTCCTGCCTTGCCACCCCTTCCCGGGAGCAGGGGTGGAGCGTCGGTGGGGACAGTGACCTGACGGACGCAGCAATGATGATGGGGAGCAGCAGTGAGTGCGGGCTGAGTTCTGGGCAGTTTCCATGCCTAGCGCTCATGCCACTTTCATTGGGGAAGTGCTGCTGCACCTGGCGAAGGGCCCCTGGAGCCAGTGCCGCTGGGGTTCGAGTCCTGGCTTACCCACCTCCAGCTGCATGAACCTGAGCCAGTCACTCAGTGCTGCACTGTGGTGGTCTGGAAGGGCTGTGCAATTTGGAATATCAGCCGTAGGTTCACACCCAGGCTCTACAACTTACTAGCTGGTGAGCTTGGGTAAGATTCTTCTTTTTAAGACTTGGATAAAGTATATTTATAAGTGCAAAAGAGATGCTACCGAGAGGTATTTTAGAACCCTGTTTGGCGTGTTAGAAATTTTGTCTAAGAATCATTCCTGAGAACGGACCCTGGGTCAGTTGTCCCAACATCCACAGCTTTCTGGAGCCTGAAGCTTAATTCAGATTCTTCTGTCTCGATGGTGCTTTCAGCTGTCGGGCTCCCCAGTTTGGTTCTGCTTCGACTCGGTCTCCTGTGTCCCAGGGCACGCGGGAGGGGCTTCACAGTTGTTTGAACTGGGACTCACCTGACTGGCAGCTTCGGCCCGCCCAAAAGACCGGCCCGCCACCCTCAGCTTGGTGCTGGCCTTTGAGCCACCTGTGCCATGCCCCAGAACCCCAAGTCGACCCCTCACACTGAGTCTCATCCTTTCTCTCATTAACTGTCATCAGCCTTTGCACCTGACGGCACGCCCAGCCCTTCTCTTCAGGTGGGGGAGGGAAGCCAGAAGTCTGCCCATTGGCTCGGCCGGCCTGGGGGAGCCCAGCCTGTCCACCTCTCGGGGCTCCACTACATAGCCAGCCAAATAATCACATGATGCTGAATCCCCAAGAGTGAATAGGCCTCATTTTCTCTTACTTTGAAAACCCTCAGGGGCCGCACTCTCTAGGTCAGGAGCCGCTGGCCCCACGTGCCTGTGTAGCACGTGAAGGTGGCCAGTCCGAGCTGAAACACGCCACAGGTATCAAATTCACACGGGCTTCCACGACTCAGTAAGGAAAAGAGTGTAAAATGTCCTGTTTGTGATACCTTTTACATTGGCAGTGTACTGAAAAATATTTTTGATATATTGAATAAAATATATATTTAATAAATCTATTCATATCGGTAAAT